GCAGCTACAAACTTCCCAAGTACAAATGCCAAAAAAATCACTATTATACTAAATCCTAATCTCAGTTAAAACAGAAACGTCAGTATTCTGCCAGCCAATTTTACCTTATGACTTCCTAGATAAAAGGTTTTACTGCTTCTGACAAATAATTGATATTTATTCAAATTCAAATAATATATTTGCAGAACTCCTAGAATCCGATCTCACTCGTTTCTGTCTATTCAAGAAATAAAGATTAGTTGCGGACTTAAGTGATTTAAAAATAGTATTCACTCTGGCATTGACCTATCACAACGTAGTAACAATAACAATGGAAACCTATCAGAATAATCAATGTGTATAAATCGCAAAGACCTAGCGTAAAAAATAAGCCAAGCCAATTAAGATCAGCATGATGATGGAGAAATGTAATTTTCTTATTTCGACTGACCCATACATATATGCATAGACATTTCTAAAATAAGTGAAAAATGTTTGAAGACACCAGAATCAGAAAACCCTTGATTGAGACCTGTGGACGAGGAGGCCGAAGTTCTGGTATTCAACGTTGAAGCCCAGTGCGTAGGAGCCTCTGCTTGGATCTTGGTCTGTCTGGAATGAATTTTGGTATTCCGGGTTTCAGGTCGGTCCGTAAATCGGCGACTGTTTGAACGAGAATAGGGCGAAGATAGTCGATAGCGGGATGGCAACGTTGATCGTAATGGCGATAACCGATTAGTGTACTTTGATACACTAAAAGGAACTCTTTGAACAATGGACCGAAATCGAGAAATTCTATGCCTCGTTTCTCGAATAGGATGGGACATACTCTTCAAAAGGCTATACCTGGATCTGTGGCCAGAACGAGAAACTTTAGAGTATGAGGAATCTGGAATGTGGCCAGAGCGAAGTTTGACAGAGGCTAAGATTTCCGGCTTTGTTGAGCCGCATGGGCGTTTAAAGCCTGATGAAAGTCGGATTGAATTATCTGAACGCTCTGCAATTTGGGAAATAATGGCCTTAGAGAGGCAAAATGACTCTGCCTTTGAATGAGTAGTGCCAGCAGATAAAAGAGCCATGCTACAGGAATTGGTAAAAACGCTTGC